CCACCCCGCAGAACCAGCCGGAGCCAGGCTGCTCTCCCTGGGGAGCACCATTCCCTTGGGACCCCAGGGTCTCCCCCCTCAATGCCCAGGTCCACTCCCCATGCTGGGTGCCAGCACCCACCATCCCACGTCCCTCACGCTGGCGCCTGTCAGGGGATTCCCCGAGACCCCCCCTGAAGGCCACCCTCCAGGTCTTTCCCATGGTCTGGGTATGCTGCTGGGGGGGGACAAGGCTGTGGGCAGAGGGGACGCCCCGTTCCCTGGCATCGCCCCTCGCCCAGCGATGCTCTCACACCGCACATGACCTGACGGTGCAGCCGAGAGGTGACGTGCGAAGGGACACATCTGTCCCGCAACTGGGCAGGACGGGCTTTGCGGCTGGACCAACGGCAGCGGGATGCCGGTGGGAGGAGGGAATGGCAACAGCCGGCTGGAAGAGGAGTGTGAAGAAACGCCTCTTGCGTGCTCTGTCCGGAGCCAGCTAACGAGGCCATATTTGAAATGCTTCGCATACCTCCGGTCATCAGATTAGCGAGATGCAGAAGGTAAAGCAGAGGGCAAGAGGAGAGCGCCCGGAGCCAGCCATCCTCGGCTGCTTGCTCCCACGGGCGGCGGGAACTGGGGAAAAGTCCCCGGCTGGCAGCGGGCACAGGGATGGAGAGGGGGCACGGGACCCCGGTGGGGGCCTGGGATCCACCTCCCCTGCCGTGATCCCAGCTGGACGGGATGCGGATGGAGGACGGGATGGTGGGGAAGGACAACCCAGCCCACCAGCCTCCCACCCCTTCCAGACCCAGAGCTGCTGAAAGGCCTCCCAGTATCTAATGGGGGTTACAGGAAAGCCAGAGAGAGGTGCTTCTCCAGGGCCTGCAGGGACAGGACAAGGGGCAACAGTTTGAAACTGGAAGAGGGCAGGGTTGGGTTGGACATGGGGAAGGAATGTTGTATATGTGGGGGGTGAGGCAGTGGCCCAGGCTGCCCAGAGAAGCTGTGGATGCCCCATCCCTGGAGGGGTTCAAGGCCAGGCTGGATGAGGCTTTGGGCAACCTGGGCTGGTGGGAGGTGTCCCTGCCCATGGCAGTGAGTAGAACTGGATAACCTCTAAGGTCCCTTCAAACCCAAGCTGTACAAAAGGAGGCAAGACCCCAAAACAGCCCCCAAGCAACATCTGCAGGCACAGCTCGGTTGCCCTCCCTCAACCCAAACCCAAAGACAGGCCCCAGCGAAGCAACGGGCACGGCACTGGGCTGCTCCTCCTGCGCACGGGTGTAGACCTCCCTCCAGCAGGCCTTGCACCAGCATCAACGGGTCTTGAGCCGTCCCCAAGATACGAAAAAGAAGAGAGAACCAATGACCCCAGGACCCTTGGGAACACCAAGAGACACCCTGGGGTCCGAGCAGATGGAGCCGCATTGCTTGTTTGGAAAAGCCAACTCTTGTAAGGAAGACGGCTGGAGATGGATATTGCCCAGGTGCCCCTATGCATAGCTGGAGCCTGAACTCAAGGCAGGTTTGCAAAGGCAAAGATGAAACATCCATCAAGCCACAGCTGCAGGCGAGACCAGGGCAGCCTTCCAACAGCAAACCAAGAGATGACCAAAGGCAGCAGCACCAGGGGACAGCAGACATTAACATGCCGAATCTCATCACACCAGAGCACAAACCCAACCCTCAGTCAAGCCTGGGCCATCCCCAGGAAGCCCACCACGCACTGAGCAAATGTATGCTGGGGTCGGTTGGTGTCTCATGACCTCCAGAACCTCTGGGGTTCACCCAGAAGCACCTCGTGGTCCACGGGGCCAGCACAGCACCACTCCCCAGCCCTGCCACTACAGCGTTTCAGCAACCCCCAGCGGACCCACCCAGAATCCAGTGTCACGAAGGTGACAATCCAACCCTTGGGATGAAGTCCATCTCAGAAGTGACCCAGAAACGACAGGCTACATCTCACCCCATGGCGCAGGTCCCGTCCATCAGCCACGCTGTGCCCCTGCTGAAGTACATCACGGTGCTGGCGTGGGGCTCAGCCTCAGCCCCTTTCCAGCTCCCACCGCTCAGGGCCAGGAGAGTGGAGATGCAAAACCACAGCCCACTTGGAAAAACAGAAAATGTCATTTTCTTTCTTTGCCACCAATTCCAGGGCTGAGACCAACACACACCTTCCCACGCCCGGGCCACCACGCAGTAAGCGTCACTCTATGGAGGTGACAGGTCCACAGCCTCCCAGCACAAAGGGTGTCCAGGTTCAGGCGATGGACAACGCTTTGGTATGAGCGGCACCATTCCAGGACAAGGACATAGAGCCAGACTCACAAATCCCAAGGGAAGATCCCGGCCGGGGAGCCCCGCCTTCACAAGGTGGACCCAGCAGGGCCGTTATTCAGGTCCCTCTTCCACGCCACAACGATGGATGGGTGGAAACCAGATACACCAAGGCAGCTTCTCAAAAACCTCCTGACCTTAAAAATCCTCTTATTCCCATCATAACGGGCTGCTACCCACGTGCGGCAAGGGCTGGCATCTCAGACTGTCAATGCCCTCCACCTGCTTGAAAGCCCTGGAGAAAGACAAGCTGTTACCAACGCACCCCCCAGCCCTGCTGCGCCCCGAAGGGACAGACCGTGGGGCAGGGCGAGGACCTGCTCCGTGGCACGTCTGCACCACCAGCACCGAGATGCTGATGGACCCAAAAGCTTCTTTTGACTCTAGTCTTCAGGTGCCCAGGAGCCATCAGCCAGGGTAAAACGTGACCTCTGGAGTCTCTCAAAGGTGATGGGACCCACTGGTCACCCTCAGCCACCCCCTGGGGTCAGGCCACCCTGCTCCTGGCTCTCACTGGAGCTCTCCCCGGGCTCCAGCACCGCAGGTGTCCGAGGGATGCAGGGGATGGATGGGGGACGCAGGCTGCTCCTCCCCCCCATGCCCTGACGCTCCCCCAGGGCTTCCCCAGCACGAGGAGTCACAGCCCAGCTCCCCCCAGGACAGGGAAGTCCGCTGCGGGGCTGACCGCCGGGTTCCCAGCCGGCTCCTCCTGGAGGGAGCTTCTTCTCCAGCACATCTCCCCTCCTGCCCCTCCTGCCTCACTGCCCCCTTCATGGAACCATGGAGGGTTTGGGTCAGAAGGGACCTTCACAGACCACCCAGGGACACCTCCCACTAGCCCAGGTTGCTCAAAGCCCCGTCCAGCCTGGCCTTGAACCCCTCCAGTGTGCTGGGACCCCCGAGCCACAGGCAGTGTCCCCAGGGGGGTCTCAGGAGCAGAAGGGGACAACCCCCTCCCTGGGCCTTCTGGCCACGCTGCTGGCGATGCAGCCCAGGAGACACGTGGCTCTCTGGGTCTCAAGCACACAGTGCCGCCTCATGTCCCATTTGTCACCCACCAGTGTCCCCCAGTCCTTCTCCCCAGGGCTGCTCCCAACCCACCTACCCCCAGGGTGTGTGGGACCGGGGCTGGCCCCACCCCAGCTCAGGACCCCGGCACTTGGTGTGGTCGAACCTCTCAGCGTTCCTCCTCCTGCCCCATTGCCCCCCCAGCAGGAACCCACACACCACCCACCGCCAGCATCTCCATCCCGTCCCCAGCCATTGCAGCCCATCCCCGAGTCCCCAGTGTGGTGGAGGTCACCCACTCCCTGCGATGCCGGTTCCCATCTTCCCCCCACCCTGGCTGAGCTTCAAAGAACCCAAATGGGTGGGGGGGATCCCCAGCCAGGACACCCCCCACTACCTCCCTGCCCCAGCTCTTTGGTGGCTACAAGGGGCAGTGGGAACAACTGGGTGTCCCCTCCAGGTGGAAGGGTCCCACAAGACCCCCCACACTCCCAGGAGTCCAAGTTGAGTCAGGGGAAAAGGAGGGGAAAAAAAACAAAACCCAACCCTTGGAGTGCAATATTTTAGTTGAGCAACAGAGCATGAGTAACGGAGGGAGCGTTTCGTGGTCTGGTGCGTCCCAGCTATGAGCCGAAAGTTTAACTATTAATACACTTCATCGAGGGGGTGTTCCTCCGGCCGGGGCCTGGGAAAACACACACGCCAGCGGCGCACGGGGA